TATACTTTTCCTGCATCTGTCTTCGTTCTGATGCTGCTTACGCCTGAATGCAGGTCATGTAAGGCCCCCTTACCTGAACTTTCTAAATTATCTGAAATATAAAATTCTAATCGTTGAGAGCCTAAATAAAAACAGAACAAAGTGTGTTACCGGTAATGTAATATTTACTATTCATCAATTATAATTAAATCTATTAAGAGTATTTTTTATTATCTGCGTATTTATTTTTAATTATAATTGCTTTTGTCTTTTTCATATAAGCGGTTTTTGACAAATTTAGACAATCATTTTATATATATATATTTTTTTTTTACAAAAACTGACCAATCGTTTTTCTGCTCTAGGTAGACATTAATTAATATTCGACTAACATATTTGATCGAGTTAATTACCATTACGCCCTATATATTTCAAAAAAGTGCGATATTAACCATTTAAAGAATTCCTTAATCTTTTCTCACATAACGATGCAAGAAATCTACAACCTCCTTATAAAGAAAGTTATTTCTTAAATTATTGCCATCAATAAAGTGTATACATAAATACTATTGAAATTGATAATTTAAGAAATATTTGTGCTGCCTACTTAATTATACATTACCTCTGAGTGATGGTCTGTGCGGTGCATAATTAAGTAGCACTCGAAACCAAATATTTCTTAAATTATTGACTTCAATAGTATTTTAACGTAACTTGTTTATACCTTGTTTCTATACGGAGATTGTGGTTTCAGATTTCTTGCACCGTACAATATTTTTAATAAATGATTGAATTTTTTTCATTAGATAGAAACTTTTATTTTTTCACAATGGAAAATTCAATATTTAATAAACAGGATGATGACGATGTGTATATTACAGAGGACGATGATGATGTTTTTTGTAGAGCTATTACATTGTATTCATGAAAATTGTGAGCAAAATGAATCAGATGATAATGAAAATTATGATATTGATCGACGGTCACTCTGCTCTGAACAAGTATCGAGTTGCGCAGCATAAAACACAATTTCCGGAAAAGAGAGAGTCAACAGCACAAACACGACAAAAAGAAGGGCAGGAGCCCCTGCCTCAAAGAAACGAAAGTCTCTAGATCTAGAAAGTGGAGAAGAACGTTGAAAACAAATGAGAACAGTAAAAAACGAAGAACCCAGCAACACGCAAGCCGTAAAGGCTGTGACTGCAGAATCAGACAGTAACAACTCGACTAATACAGCTGCCACACCTTGCTCAGATTGGGTGGAGATTTTAGAACAAGAAAATAGGAGCGTAAGTCCTCCAGCTTTGAACTCAAACTTAGAAGGTTTACTTTTGACAGAGGCATGTAATCTCGACGAGTCAGATACAGAAAGTTCTAGCAATGTCACTGGTAGTAGATCAGGTAAGGGGGCCTTACATGACCTGCATTCAGGCGTAAGCAGCATCAGAACGAAGACAGATGCAGGAAAAGTATA